CTGTCTGCCTGTCTGCCTGTCTGCCTGTCTGCATGTCTGCCTGTCTGCCTGCCTGCCTGTCTGCCTGTCTGCCTGCCTGCACTGCTTGGCTAACTCTGGCACATTTACAGAAATGTTTATGAATGTGCACTCTTAAATCACATTTAAAGGTTTTCACATTGATTTTATTTGTTAAAAAAAAACAGATATGTCAAACAATAGCAGTTTAGAAAACAGAGTCAGGCAGTATGAAGGCTGCATCGTTTCAGATAGAGTCTTTGGAGCTTTATTTTACCTGAATATTGTTTTAATTTAGCCTGTTTTGCTAACTGATATTCAACCTAATCCAATATTTTTGTTTTATTTCCGTATCATTAAATATATATATTTTTTTCAATTTCAAACAACATATCTTTAGCTTATTCACAAACTGACTGGAGGGTTTTCTTAAGCTGAGAAACATCATTATGTTAATATTGCATGTTGCCGTGTCTTTACCTTCAGGACTCTTTCTTTAGCTCGCTGTATCTTGACAGGAATCAGAGAAGGCTGCAGTCGGGCTGAAGAAAGCAGGAAGAGATCTAACGTGTACACAGCACTGTCCAAGAGCTGACACACACACACACACACACACACACACACACACACACACACACACACACACACACACACACACACACACACACACACACACTCTGTGAGGTTTTAAAGGGTCTTGGCTGTATTTTAACCCCCAGCTGAAGACCCCCCCTGAACCCTGCTCCTAACCTTCTCCATCTGCAGGTGGGCACAGTGGACCAGCCTCTGGGTGCTGCTCAGGCCGAAGCGCTGCTTCACATCCTCAAGCTTCTCCGTCAGGCTCTCCACCTGCCGGTAGCTCTGGTCCAGTCTGATGGAGTGCAGCGGAGACAAGTCCTGCACAACATGCAAAACAATGTAACACATTCAGGAACCAAACATCCATTCCAGTGCCAGGCCAACACACACTATTATCAGTGTAAAGCTGCAGGGGGGGGTCTCTCATAGCTGCATTACAGACAGCAGGTGTATGACCTAAAGAGAGACATATTAGTAATGATCTGTGCACAGCCACACCCTCCGGCAGTGCACTAACATGTTAGGGACATGTTTTCACACCCAAAAATAAGAATAACCATCATCTTTGGTGATTTTTTTCCAAATGTGTAGGCATAGGGAATGGTTGTGCAATTGGTTTAAAGTTGTTGTGAAAAATGATAGGCCACTTTTGTATATAGTCTTATTTGAGTTATGTCACGCCCTCTATCACCACGTCCATGTTTTGCATTTGTTGTGCCCCCTAATGGTCAATTTGTTTGGAACTTTTAGGCTGTATCCTGAGAACATTTAAACATATCCTGCAGGTTTTGTGTTTATTGGCCCAACAGCTTTGGAATTAAGTATAGTGATTTTCTGAAGAAAGAAACAACTCTGAAATTCAAGCCATTATTATTATTATTATTATTATTATCCATAGACTTTAACTTAGAACACATGTCTCTCACCTTCTTGGTCTCCTCTGTTCCTCCATTAGTGTGTGTGAAGGCTGAGTCCATCTGTGTGTGCAGTGTGAGTTGCATCCCCTGAATCCCTGCACTGATGTGTTCAGTGAGCGCTTCAAGGATGGAGGAAATGTTGGGCGACACACACTCACCACACACTTTCTCTGCTTCTGCACATATACATGCTGGAACACACACACACACACACACACACACACACACACACACACACACACACACACACACACACACACACACACACACAATATTATTTACAGTGACTTTTCTTTTAACAACGGAAACTCAGACATCTGTTTGTTAGCGTTGTTTGCCTCTCCAGACTGTTCTGTGTGTCGGGTTAGCGTGCGCTACCTTTGACTTTCTCCTCCAGGAAGCAGTGGGAGGACATGATCTGGTCCAGGTTAGATCTGATCAGCGCCTGATTGGCTGACGCTGTCTGGCGACACTCGGCCCTCAGAGCCTGCAGACTGACGGAGAGTTGCTCCAGCACCAGAGAGTAGCTAGCCTGCACTGTCTATACATACACAGACACATATTAATGGATCAATTAAAAGATCAATATCTGACAAGGAATGCAGAATTCTGAGAATATTAAGATTATAATCTGAAGTTGGAAGAAAGAAATGATGTCTGAAAATGTCTGAATATTTCAAACATTAAAGCTGCATTGCTCTGAACGCAGTCATTGCTTTGTGCTGCCACTTGGGGGCACATGACAAGCAGCTTCCAAAACATCCACATATTTTCATCTAAAGGTGGTCATTGTGAAGTCCTCTTTAAACAGAGGTGGAAGAAGTACTCAGATCCTTTACTTGAAATACTATGGTCTTAATATACTCTATTACAAGTAGAAGTCTTAAATGCAAAATGTTAAGTAGAAGTACAGAAGTATTATCATCTATTTGTACTTACAGTATCAGAAGTACTTAATGGTGCCTTTCACAATATTATATGTTTTATATTATATTATCCTGTTTTTATCACAAAAGAATACTACTACAGACTCATCTCCCTTAAATCACATTATATGAAAGTAATCTGTGCTAAATTGGGATGGTAGTACTGTTAAGAGGTTTCATTAACAAAGTGAGTAGTTTCTCCCTATGCTCTCAGTAATGAAGACAGTCAACTATGAAATACAGTTTCTGTTTAACTCACTGCCAACCACTGTCGAATCCTCTCAGCCTTCTTGCCCTTCACTCTGGACTGAAGCTGACTCTGTAGCCATGACAACACTTCCTCCATCACCTGTGAGGCCAGCACCTACACATGCAAACACATCATTTAATAATCAAATGAGCCGGAACAACAACCAAACTGAAATGTGTGTGTGTTTGCTGACTTGTTCCTCTGTGCCGAGCAGCATTTCCCAGGATTCATAGCTTCCTTTGTCCTGTCGGTAGAGTCGGAGGGCTCGGACGAAGGCCTGGCTCTCGTAGGAGGGGTCACACCAGGGGTCTGCAGGAGGAGTGAGTGTGAGACCCTGCTCATCCTCTTTTCAAACACAGTATTGTGTCAGCTCTATTATCCAAAAACACACCACTTACTTTATTTCCATGAGGACACACTATGTACTCCTATTGACTATTGTTTGATAAGAACTGCAGTGAACAACTATTTTCGGAAAGTAATTATCAAATTAACTCCAGAGTTCCCGGTTCTTGCAGTTGCACACAGACTCTTTTGCACGTCGTTCTCAGCCTCTCCTCACCTTCCTTTCCTGTTATCTCTGCACTGTTGAATATATACTGTGGTGTAAAGTAACTAAGTACATTTACTCAAGTACTGTACTTGAGTATTTCCATTGTATACTCCTTTGTACTTCTACTCCACAACAATTGTTTATTACCTTTTAGTTACTTTTGCAGATCTGGATTAGTAATAAATATATATATATATATATAT